TGAATTATATTATTCTATTTTTACTTGCAAGCAACATTGACAGAAGGAGTTAGGCATGTTTTTAGATTTCCAGTGGAGAAGAGTCATTCTAACATTCATAATCCTACCTTGAAAACTCTAAAGAGAAGGCCCTCCAACAGGTTTTTTCCAAGCCTTCTCCACCACCTCACTAAACCCTTCTACCTTAACCCACTTACAATCAAATACAAATATTTTCTTTTGACTTTAACAGGTTTGATCAGTATCCAACAACAATAAACTATGGTCATAAAGTACCATAGAAAAATGCTTAACTTGAGAGTTAGGGATAATAAGAGACCAAGTAGGGGTGAAAAAGAATCTTGATATTTTTCCTCAATAAACTCACTGCCCTTTCTATTATTGGACCAGGTATAAGGGTGACCTACAATTTTGGTTTTAGCTATCCCCATATCCCTACCATAATCTTTAAAGGTAGAGAAACTACTCTCATCTCTAACATTCCCCATTTTCTTGTCTTCATTAAAGAGAAAAACATTATAATCCCCCAAGAAACTAGTTTTTCTCCCATCTCAGGCTATGTCTAAGTAAATCTCTCATTGGCAAAACCTAACCACATGCTCTATCCTAGAATACATAATGATTCCCTAAAAATAGTATCACTTCATTTCCTGTTAAACTTAACTTCAATACAAAAATCAAGTCAGTTCAACTCAATGATAGTTATATTCTTAGACCAACAAAGCAACATCCCCCTCTAGTTCACCAAGGTTTCACATAGACCCATCTATCCTCGAGCGTTAACTTTTTACAGAAGAGCAGATAAATTTTTCTTTTCATTTTGGTTTCAAAGAGAAAAGAAAAATCTGGAAGGTGGTTTCTAAGAACCTCTTTAAACTGAGAAATTGTATAGGGTCCTCCCAGACCCCTACAATTCCAAAATGTGGGACCAGTTAGGGCTGGTTCCCTGCACCTCAAACATTGTTTTAGAATAAGAGATTTTCTATTTTTTATTTTCCCCCATTTATTTGCCTTCCATTTTACTTTCAATTATAGTATCATCAACTCTCTTTTCCCGGAAATTTTAATGCCCAGTTCGAAAACAATTTTCCCTATGAATTAATCAACATATTATCAGAAGAAGCAATTTGATTAGTCTTGGGTTTTTTTTTTATAAAAGTGTTTTTCTTTCTCTGAGCTATTCTACCACCAATTGTGGCAGGTTGAGCAGGAATTTCCTCAAGAGGAGAGGCCTCTTGAGGGGTAAGGGTCAAAAGATGAGGAGCAGAAGGGCTCTCTACCTCTTGAGGCATCACTAGTTCTCTTGTCTTGTTAACCATAATGGCACTAACCTCTCTTAAAGAGTTTTTCTGGCTATCCCCCTCTTCTAACACTCAGGTTCAGATCTTTCCCAACTAAGTCATTACTTTGTTCCCTTACAACAAAATTATTTACATTTTGACTAGGGGTCAGGTGGCCCTCTATTCCACTAGATTGACTTCCTTGCAGATGATTTAATGGGTTCCTAAAATCACTAGAGGAGCTACTAGATATTCTAAACCAATCCCAAACTGACCATGATTAAGCACATTTCTATTGACTTATTTTTTTTAAGAGGAGCAATTCCTATTAGAATGTCCTATTTTACCACAGTAAAAGCATAAAGTCTGGATATTCTCATACCTAAAGTCCACCCACCTACTTTTAGCCCCCAACTTGATCTTTGCCCCCTAAGTATGGAGTCCTTAAGCTGCTTGTACACCATAAATTTGATGATATGCCCATTATACTTCCAGGACCAGACACATGTACATCTATAATTTTGCCTAACAACCTCCCTATCTTCAAATCAGTTTCTACTGTAATCCAGTGGAAGGGCAAGTTTTGAATTTGAACCCAGATTCTTGTAAACTTCTCCTCCTCTTCGTCTTTGAACTCCAGTCTCTCAGGGTCTCAGATCTTCAACATAATGTATTGACCATCAAATGACTAGGTTTTTCACTGGAGGATTTTGTCTATGTCTTCTTCTAGTTGAAACAAGAACTGGAAACATTTTGTGCCAAGGTTTCTAATAGTAAATTGTTTCCTGGTAGCCCATAGCACCCCTAGGGTAGCTTTTAGCCCACTAAATTGGCCTTCTTCTCACCATAAATATTTCTAATTAAGCTTAACTTGCAGTCTCGAAGACCCGGGTCTATATCTTTCTCCAATATCTCAACGCCTTGAACCTCATTCTCAGGAAGCCTAATTTTCATAAGCTTATCTGCTATCTCTTTCTCCAATGACTCTCTCATGACCTCCATGAGAATTGACCCTTAAGCCAGTCCCTAGGGATAAAAAGGAACGAGAAGAACACGCACAAAGCACGAAAACCAGAAAGAGAGAATAGAAAAGCAAAACAGTAAACACCAAGCATATAGAAACATAAACAAGAAAGAGAGCAGAACAACAACCCTAAAAGACCCATGACAGAAAAGCAACCCGTAACCCATCCTAGCAAAGAAACCTCGAGCAAGAACAGAGGAAGAAACGCCTGAAAGAACCCTAATATACAAATCCAAGTTTTGGAGCTACAAACACTAGAGAGAGGCGAACCTTACCAAAGGCACTCTTGTAGTCTATGGTCCGTCGATTGACTAGGCAAGTAATGTTAAATCAAATCAAAATCCAAACAAATTTTAAAAATGAAATTCAATATGAAGTAATGTTAATCATATAAAGTGA